AACAAAACCATTATACTCTGATTTCCCATTTTCAATGGGTTCAGGGTATAAAAATAATTAATTAATAGATTTTTAAAAAATTTATGTAGATTTAGATAATATATTTTTTTTTCATGTAGCTATTTTACTTGAAAGCTTCGTTAGTCCCGTACTTTCATTTGCTTCTGTATTGACTCACACAATAAAGCAAAACTGCAAGATAAGCTGTATATGCACTGAGTATGACTAATCAGAAGCGTTTCAGGAATTTCGTTAACTAGAAAAACGATGTATGGTGTAAACATCATCAGTATTTTATAAGGAACCTTTTAGAAGAATCGCAAATTTTAAGTCAATAATCAATAATAGCGAATTAGTTTGCCTTCACATTTACGATAAGCACACAGAAGACAGAGATCGCAGAAATCGAATTTTCTTTGTTTAAATCACGAAGTGAGCGCGTATGCAACAGGTTGCAGATCAAATGGAAGCGAGAAGGAATGTTGTTTGCTACCTTTTTGGGCGGCTTTATATAATTATAGCTTACTGTCAACTCCAATAACAAACTGCGCGAGTGTTTGCATCACTGTGTTTTTGTGCGCCTGTATGTGTAACTTAATATTAATTGCATGTCAAAAACTCCCGACTAGAGCACCACGGATAGTTTTCTTTAATGTTGAATCGATTCGATAATTAAGTTGTTACACTCACTTGTCCATGTTTTGGGAAAATCGCTTAAGGGCCAGGATGGCCACGTAAGTTTTGCCAGAGCCAGTGGGCAAGTAAATAATACCATTTCGTTTAACGATGTATTCCACGAGTCGCAGTTGATAGCTTCGTGCCTGAGTGAAATTAAAAACATTAATGTTTCGCTGAAAGTGAATTTTAATTATTATAATTTACCTCCATTTTGTCAGTCTCTTTATTTTCGGACATATTTCCAATATGATTTTATGCTAATTCTGCACTTTTCGATTGTAAATCGTACACTGAAATGGCGTACACGCAATTAAATACAAATGCGATAGAAGCACAGTGTAAGTGATCGCTTCGGATCGCTCCTTCATATTTTTGTTTGTTTGTATAATGCTGACGTGGCAGCGTAGCAGCTCTGTTACCATTTACCTTTTTGTATATTTTGGGGATGTACCGTTTTCTGCCGGCCAGTTGGGTACTTGATTGGGCAAAGGTTTACATACATACTTAATGCATACTATGCCGGTTTTTTATTAGATGTGATTAAGAAGTGATTATATATACGAATCTTACCTTTTTTACATAAGCCCATGCATAGATTTGTTTAAATAACTATTAAATTAAAATTGCGTGACAACTTGTACAAATAATAAAATAATTAAAAACAATCTTTAGCAATTCGACATCACAAAGGCACATGCAATGTGTGACTGTTTCTGTTAAAGGTTGAAATACTTCCAATGATAACAGTTGGGAAAAATATCGTTTGTCGACGATATTTAAGTGTTTTTGTATGGTAGTGGTAGTGGTATTGTCAGTGTTAGTGGTACTAGCAAAAGTGATGTAGCCCTAGTGTTAACAACCCTGTAACTATTTACTGTGAGTCAATCATATACAAAATAAAGAATTTATATTTAATTGCAATAATATTGAGGCATTATTAACAATATTTATTTGACTTGCATGCTTCAGAAAAGAGATACCGTAATAGGACGTGCACACACAGAAGTAGGCTTTGTAAGAAAGGAAAACAGAACAATGGTTGGAGTTATAGATGAGGCACAGCTGTTTTATCCGCTGGGCACACGCATCAAAATCGCCAATAATTATGGCACCGTTAAATATGTGGGCGAGGTAGGCGTTTTAATAAATGTTATTTCAAGGAATATGTGATAGCTTTCATATGCATTGCAGGTAAACGGGCACTGTGGTACTTGGCTGGGCATCGAGTGGGACGACGGGCTGAGGGGCAAGCACAACGGCATGGTCGATGGCAAACGATATTTTCAAACGCGATTGCCTACAGCTGGCAGTTTTATACGACCGGGGAAGTTAGGGCCCTTTGCCACGCTTGAAGATGCGGCACGCGAACGTTATCTCAATTATGATTCCAAAAATGTAGATACTTCGTTGATACGTGAAGCACAGGCTTCAATGCAGGCTTCACTCTTCGAAGTTGTGGGCATGGACAAGATAGCGCGCAAGCAAAGCAAGTTTGAGCAGCTTTCGGAGGTAAGCGTGGATGAAACACCAGTCAATGCTGCAGGTTACCTGAAGGATCTATCACAACTTACTACGCTCAATGTAAGCCATACGCTCATCTGGAACTGGGAGATTGTGGCTAGCATAACGCAGCAGCTTCCTCTGCTCAACAGCTTGAACTTGAGGCACGTGTTCCTAATTACGCAAACGAAAATAATTTTTAATAATTACTTTACTTTGCAGCTCAAATCGATTGCTGTTGCCCACAGATAAACAAGTTATTGAGCTGGCGCCCTCTTTTCGTCACTTGAAACATATTAATTTGGGAAATTGTGGTTTCACGGACTGGCAGGATGTGGTGCAAACGGCGCGATTGTGGCCGGATATTGAGTCGCTGAGCCTACAGGAAAATTCATTAAGTCAACTGGGTGAAGTCGATTGTACAGAAATTTTTCGAAAGCTGCGTGAACTCGATTTGCATCGTACTAAACTCATGGATTTTGACCAGGTGTGCAAGCTAGGCAACATTAGTACCTTGTGTGTTCTCAATCTAATTGAGAATAGAATAGAGCAGCTGCAGCTCCCCGATTGCGAGCCGCAGTCAAAACTAAATATGTTTGTTTCGCTGGAGCAGCTCAGTCTGATTCATAATCCCATATGGAATGAGGTGAGCAATAACTAAAATATCAGTATTCCCATTGGTATAATTTGTATTTATTTTTAGACTGAGGCATTCAATGAGCTCGACAAATTGCCACAATTGAAACGCTTGAATAAGACGCCACATTTGAAGTCTAATTTTGATGAAATGTTTTCCAAAGCAGTGGCCAGCATAGCCGGTCTGCAATTCGTCAATAAGGCTAAGGTAACACCTGAGCAGCGACGAGGTGCCGAATATGATATATGGAAGAAATATGCATTGGAATGGCTGCAGGCGACCAAATTGGGCGCTGATGCGCTACGCGAATTCTACAAGAAGCATCGCACTTATCTGGGGATTGTGAATAGTAAGTTGTTATCGCTAACAAATTGTAATAGTTGATTTCAAATGAGGTTCTCTTTTTGTATAGAATATGGTTCGCCCGCTGATTTTGTTCCGCGTATTCAAGTCAAGCCATCCAATCTCATTAAAGTCCGCATACAGAATGGGCAGACAGGTGAAGTATGGGAAAAGAAGGTGCCACGCATGATAACGGTGCAAACGTTACAAGGACTAATAACGAAACGGTTTCGTCTTGGGGAAATTCCGCAACTATGCTACATAGATGCCAAACATCCGGAACTTGTCGTACGCCTAGAAAACAATGCCAAAACGTTGGATTTCTATTCAGTGCAGGAGCACGATACAGTTTTATTTGAGTAGTGGAAAATTCTAGTTTAATGGAATATTTAAAAACCCTGCAAAACCTCTACCCTTATTTTGGTATTTAATTGTGGTATTTTAGCTGTAGAGCAAGCAAAACGAAGATTTCTTGATTTTATATACATATTAACTGTGACACCTACTGAGACCTATGCAATGCAAAATTACAAATGTTTATTTTATTTTATAAATTCCCGCTTTATTTCTTTGAGGAAAATAATGAATTTATTAAACAAAACCGTTTCTTTTAATACTATAAGTATCGATACTTGATACGATGATTGTTAGAAATGTGAGTTGCATTCGCGAATGATACAACAGAAAACATCAATAGGTATCGATAAATTTGCTAGTCACATTACCGCGATGCGTTCATACTGGCTAACAACGTCTTTAAAATTGCTTAAATGCAATAAAAACAATTTATGGATAACGAGTGTACGTAGATCATTTGCAACAGCACAGTCTAGTGGAGAAAATCTTCAATCAACAACGCTGTCTGTACGACCTTTTGAGGAGCTTGACAACAAGAACAACAACAATGAGCATCAGCAGCGATCTCTGCACATAGCCGTAATTGGAGTCCCAAATGTTGGAAAAAGTACTTTTATCAACAACATAATTAACCATAAGGTGAAAAACAAATAGTGGTAAATCTAAAAGCTAAACTAATCTCTTTTTTTTTAGGTCTGTCCCACATCAGGTAAAGTGCACACTACTCGCAAAGCAAACACTGCGATTTTGACCACGGGGCACACACAGCTGGTATTCTACGACACGCCTGGCTTGGTCACTCAGCATGAAATAAGAAAACATCATTTGGAGCAAAGCTTTAAAAGTGCTTATCGTCATGCCATTCAACATGCGGATATTATAGCTGTTATGCAGGACGCGTCCAACAGTTGGACTCGCAAAAGTTTGCATCCCACAGTGATCGACACTCTGAAGACATATGCCCAACTGCCCAGCTTACTGGTGCTCAACAAAGTCGATGCTCTGAAATCAAAGCGTATCCTCTTGGACTTGATTAAAACTTTGACTAACGATACTCTGCGTAGTAAAACTGCTAGTAAAAAAATTTCCCTGCCGTGCGAATCAGTGGGAGTGCGTTTGAATCAACGCGAAACTAGTTGGAATCACTTTAGCGATGTCTTCTTGGTATCCTCCATCACCGGCAGTGGTCTACAAGAGCTACAGGACTATCTGGTTAACTGTGCCAAGCCAAGACGTTGGGTCTACCCAGCTGACGTCTATACAGATGAAACACCTGAAACTTTAATTGTGGACAGTGTGCGAGCACGTTTACTGGACTATTTGCCACAGGAAATTCCCTATAATCTGAAATGCGAGCTGGAGTACTACAATGTGGAGAACCGTAATTCCTCGCAGACCTAATTAAATTATACTTGTAATCCATGCTCTCTTCTTATAGATGTAGTCTATACATCGGTTCTGGTCCAGTGTCCCACGCCCCGAATTGAGCGCCTTATCTGCGGCGAATCGAATGGAAAACTGCGCCAGATAACAGAACGAGTAACTTCAGATTTGGTGGAAATGTTTGGTCAAGCGGTGTCTTTAACCATATCCACAATGTCCGGTGGAAAGAGAAATGTATAAACGTGTATCTCAATACCTCTGAGCTTGAAAAGGGCCAAACAGAATACAAAATTGATCTGGAACCTTACAGACATCGCCATTTAGCCCGCTCAGATTATGGGTTTTCAAATTATCGATAACTTCAATTTCTGTCGAATCGATAAAAGTAAATATTGATTTCAGTTATTGTATTCACCAAATTTGCTATAAATGGTCTCGTAAAGAAAAAAATATTTGAATTATAATATGTAGCGCAAGTATATGTAGAGATTAGGTAGAATTTTTGACCTTTAATTACTCAGCCAAACTTGAAACTAAATAGTCGGGTAGACCGCTGATATTATTGATTACATAATTTACAAACACATTAATTGGTACATATGAACGGTATTTATAAAAGTTTTAAATCGGCAACTAGCTTATCAACATCGGCAGCTTTTGCAGGTCCCAGTCCAAGCACCGTAGCTGTTCCAGGCTCAACCTGAGTACGCCCGGCGTCTCTTACCAAGGCAGCAACTATGTCCGCCTTTTGTGCCCGTTGCTGTAGACCATTTAACTGTTCGTAGTTGTCCACTCGGAGCACAATTTTTGGCTGTCCCATCTGGCACCAGCGCTGAAGTAGAGCATTTTGCTTCTCACTACCTTTGGATGCGTTTTGGTAGCAGAGGACGGCGGCATGTGCACACTGTGCCGCTGTTTTGCCTTTGCTCATCTTCAGATCTCCGCGCACGATGAGTGCCAGTTTTGTTGAGCTTAAGACTATACTGGTACTGAGGAGTTTATGTATAATTTTACTTAACATTGGAATATTTCTTGGATTGTTCATCCACATATTTTTGCATGCACGCCTTGAACTCTTTCACTTTGTCCTGACACATGCGCCAGTCGCCCGTCTCTGCAATGCACTCCTGTACCTTATAGTGTAGCTCTATGCAGCCTGTTTTCTTTAGCATCAACTCGACGGGATCCTGTTCTTCAGTTGGCATAGCTAACGTTTGTATCACTAACCAGAGAACACATAGACCGGACACGTAGTGCAAAGCGTTTTGCACACTTATTTTCA